TGATGGGGAGGCATGGCAGGAGGCAGCTGGAGCAAAAAGCTGAGAGCTCCCATCTTCAAGCACCCACATGAAGCAGAGAGACAAACAGGAAATGGGACACAGCTATCTACTCTCAAAGCCTGCCCCTGGTAACATGCTTCCTGCAGCAGGGGCACACCTTACTAAAGATTCCATGACCCCCACCCCCAAACAGCAACCCCAACTGACCATATGTTCAACACTTGAGCTATGGGGGACACCTCATTTAAATCACATCTGCTAAGGGAGTAGTGTGGTAGTTCTTTATCTCGATTTACAGATTATTTAACCTTTTTTTGTACTGCGCATGTCTCTTCCAATAATGCATCTGATTTTAATCATATGCATTCCAAATTATGCATAGGCATAAGATAGTAGGTAGAGGACACTCCCTAAAATTTCATCATGCATGCACCGAAAACTAGTTCAGCCTATACTGGTCATCCTACTTTCATACCCAGACATAACCAAAGTACCATTGAATGGAATCTAGATTGATAGTTGTTAGGGTGTGTAGAAAAGTATTACATTGTTCAGAGTGAGTGTATGTGGAGCTCGGTTAGCAGATTCTTCATTGTAGTGAGCTGCCAGAGTGGAGTGCAGAGTAAATGGAGGTAAAGGTCTCAGGCTGCATGGTTAGAAGAGGAATGTATGCATGGCACAAACCAAATGGAGTCCCAGGTTGATAAACTGTTCTCTGTGCTTGCTTGCCTCAAAATGTGGTGACAGGTGTCACTGGCTTCATAGTTAAAGGTGATCCAGGCTGGATTTTCACATGTATATCTTTCATTTCTTTTATCTTTGATATTTTTCATCATGAGGTACAGTGATATAGATGAAATGAGTTTTAAAAACCTAAGATATTTAAATAACTAGTTTAAATAGTAAAAACAAATGTTTCAAAGTAACTGGTGGAAATTCTTTCCCCATGAAATACCACAAACTATTTCTTCACATAGTTGGACAGAAACAAGTCATCTTTTAGTGGTCACTCATTCAAATGTTGAATAAGTAAGACTCTGATGTCCTATGGAAAGGGCAATATGATGGACGGTGAGACAAATGTAGCTTTCTACCCAGTCCAGTGGTGGGCAGGATTGTCACAAGAAAGCAGAGTCTCCTAGAAGAAATACGATCAAACATCACACCCTCTTGTTTTTTGAGGTAGAATATTCTAGAAATTGATGGATTAAGATAGCCTGTTAGAAACGACATAAGGTCTTTCCATAGTGCCACTCACCATGAGAATAGTGGATGAACTGCGGGAGGGTCCATAGTCTATGAGGATCTAGTTGTTCCCAGGTAGTGATAGCTCCAGCACAGCTGTACATGGCTGAATGTACCTCTGGATTCAATTGTGACTGAAAAATAATGCCCCTATGTGAGACATAAACCAAGAAGGCTAAACAGGGAGCTCTTGGTAAAGATTTAGATCCATAAAATTATGACACCAACAACAAACGAAAGTCCATCAAACCACGTGCTGTCATTTCTCACTAGAGACAGATCATGCAATGAGAGCAGAAACAAAGAGCCTATAAAACAATGCCTAAAACCACACCTAACACCCATCAACTCAAGTCAACGGAGTGGGTTACCCAAAGAGAGCAGGAGGATATTATAGGGACAATCAGAAAATGGAAAAAAGTATAAGGGGCCAAGGCCATTTTACTGCCCCAAGACAGTAATGCCTGTTATAGCAGTTACATAATAAGACAGTAGTGCTTGAAAAATTCACCAAACAAAACACTCAGGTAAGACAGGCACTCTCCTCAGCTGCTAACAGGAATCCACATGTTTGAGTCCGATCTTTCATGTGGAGTATAATGGTGCTGATTAGAGAGCTGTTAATTTGCAGCTCATGATCAAAATCTGTCTGTGCAAATACATGTTTGTGTTCATTTCTCCAGAACTTCAGAAGTATCTGACATTACAATCCTGTTTTTGCCTTTGCCAAATTTCTCTCAAGGATGGGACTGGGGATGGGGAGGATGTTAGCGTTCTGACAGCTTGGTTTCCTGCTGAAGGACTTCTCACAGGCTTCAGGTTCTCTTTCTTCTAGAGAAACAAAGTCTAAAAAAGACTGCTTTTATGTTTTAAGACAAAGTGTCTTCTTACTGTGCGCAGTAGTCCAAAGAAACTGGCTTTCTGCTTCATTCTGAAAGACTGTGAAGTTTTTCAGTAAACATTTCCGTCAGCTTTTTAGCTGTTCATAATCTGTAATTATCTTATAAATATCTTATAAACTCACCTAAAATTTCAACTATTAAGACTCTGTCAGCAAAAGAAAATGTCATGGAAACTGTTCTCAGAAATCATCACAAAACAGTTTGGAGAATGAGTGAGGGAACATGAAAGTGAATGAGTGAGTGTATGAACTGGTTCAGTGGAAAGAGTCGGCATGATATAATGTCTATACACACATGAACAAATGCAATGTCTTATTTGTTTATTTATTAATTTTTTGGTAGCACAAATAGTTCTAATCCCACTGTCCATGGTATTTTCTAAACAAACCCAAGGTCACATTAGTCCAACCTCATTAACTCTTCAGTCATGAAGAGTTATAGAACTAACTATAGTAGCTCTCAAGGGCTACTTAGCCTAAGACTCATGGCTTTATAAAGGTTGTTCAAAAAGTAAGTGCTAAGGAAATTGGCAAGTTCATTAAGGCAAAATGCCCAAAACATATTTTATAGAAGTACATTTTTGTTGCAATAAAGTCTATTCTACTTTTTTTTTTTTAAGAGGAAATTATGCGGCCTGGGGATATAGCTTATTGGGAACTGGTTAAGGGAAATAGCTACACCTACAGATGACCCAGTTTCAGTTCTGAGCACCCACATGACAACTCACAACCATCTGTAACTCCAGTTCAGGGTATCTGATGCCCTCTTCTGGCATTTGTGAGCACTTCATGCTTATGATGGACATACATACACATAGGCAAAACACTGAAATACGTAAAATAAAAATAAACATTTTTAAAAAGATAAATTATGAGTAAATTTTATTCTACTTCCCATATACTCTTGAAGTGGGGGAAAGAAGGGAGAAACACTATGTGATTAGGTTTCTAGTGATAAAAGCATAAGCCTTTAAGTACAAATTCTTCCCAAGATTTTCTTTTAATGTGCATTTCTTTCTGCCAAGACAATACACTTTTGTTCTTGCTTTAAAAAAGAAAAAAACCTCTTTATAGCACAAAGAAGGCATTGCCAGTAGGAAAGAGATAATAAGCTTCAGCTTTAAAGCTGTTTTGATATTTCAAGCATAATTTAAGCATCTTTGTCTTTGATGGTTCCTGCAAATCACAAGGCACAAAATAGACTGATATTTTCAATTCTGTAAAGCAAGTAAACTACAAAAAGATTCTCTCCTAGTACTCATTAAGGTAAAATCCTCAAAGTAATGTTTTAATCACAAAATAAGTGCTTAATTACAAATAATAACCAAGAACTAATATGTAAATATATTATTTCAGCTCAGAAGACTTAACTTCATTGATCCTCAGAGTACATTTTCCTCATCAGAAACAGAATTTGAACCACTCCCTTCTTTATTTTTTCTTTCACTTTCTACATAACCTATAAAAGGTGATGACACCATGTACAATTTGAAGCATACATGTTCTTCCCTTTATAACAGAAGCAGAAAAATAGGTTATTTTATTTTCATTTATTTTATTTCATGTGTATGAGTGCCTGCCTGCATGTATGTAAGTGCACTTGCATGCAATACCCATGGAGGCCAGGAAAAGGCATCAGATCCCCCGGAACTGGAGTTGTGGATGGTTGTTAGATGCCATGCGGCTGCTGGGAACCAAACCCAGGTCCTCTGCGAGAGCAGCTAGTGCCCTTAACCTCTGAGAGCTATTTCTCTAGAGATTCCTGAAGCAGAAAAAAAGGTTATGGATCAACTCAGAACAAGAAACTACAACATGGGGATGGAGAGATGGCTCAGCGGTTAAGAACACTGACTGTTCTTGCAGAAGACCTGGGTTCGAATCCCAGCACCCACATGGCCACTAACAACTGTCTGTATCTCCAGTTCCAGGGGATCCGACAGCCTCTTCTGTCCTCCACCGGCATTGCAGGACACAGGTGCACTTACCTACATGCAGGCAATATACACATACACATTAAGAAAAAAGAAAGAAAGAAACTACAACAGTTACTAGTTAAATAAAACTTAACTTATATTTTGTGATAATGATCTTTTCACTAATTTCTACCACAATTCATATAGCCTTCACCCCTTCATCATATTAAAAGACCATTACATCTGAAGAAATGGAAATGATATTAATTCTACTTTTGCATTCTTAAAAGAAAGAATTTACTAGAATTCTGTGAGCGACTACAGAGCAGTCAATATCCAAAACTCAGTTTCAAAATCTAAAGAACTTTAGTCTACAAAAGAAAAATATGTGTTATATATAATTCATAACAGTCCTATAACATAAATTCATAGCTACTAAGCACATTAGGCTAGGCAAGTGCTTGGCAGAGGGATATGTCATCCCAGAGCAGCAAAATCTACAACTGAATCTTAGTGAATGGGCAATTTTTCAATAAAATTGAATACCAAGAAAATACTTAAGGCAATAAAGGGTTATGGAAACAATGACAGTTGGAGCTGCGAGGAAGGAGTAGAAAGGGGAGGTATTACCTGACGGACTTTGTATGACTTGGCGATTGGTTGGAAATAGAGGAGATGTGAACTGAGGACAGTCAGTGGGGAAAGAGCATTGTGAAGGAGAATGGGGAATAATGAATAAAGCAAAGGTCTATGTTAGGAACCAGTAAGAATAACACAAAATCTTTATAAGAAGATATCAAAGAATAATCAAATCATATAGAGAGGCATTCCATGTCCAGAATCCTAAAGAGGGAAGCTCTTCCCAACAGCTCTATAGATACCAACAAGTTACAGTGTGGATATTGACACATACTAACTCTAAAGTTTATGAAAAGGTGCCAATATTTACCTGGCAAGCTAGACACCATGTTCTTGATGGTGGTTTGCAGGCTGAAGCTCATCCATCCTCTGAATGTACTGATCCCTGAATATCCCCAAAAGCAGGAAACTTGACAGCATCATTTGTGGTAATGAAGAACTGTATTTGTGCTTTCTTCTGACAAAATAAAATAAAAAAATGCAAAGACTCTAAGGGCCGACCCAGTATTGATGTCCAAGAAGAATGTCAAGGATGGTTGTTGTCTACTACCAACACAGTTTAAAGTCATAGCAAGCACAACAGCACACACAGTGAAAAACAGACAAACCGATCAATAGATCAGAACCGAGATCCCAGAAATACACCACATAAATGAGCTTGCCTTTGGCAAAAGAGCCAAAGTCATTAAATGAAGCATGGATTTTCTTTTTAACAAGTATTGAAAAAACAAATATTTACAGATACAAGAGTAAATCTTTACAAAAGCTTCACATCATTCACCAAAACCAACTCAAAATAAATCAGAGTCTTCAGTGTAAAATACAAAAGTAAAGCCCCTAGGAGATAAATAATAAAAGAAATCCAGGACTGGATAAAGCAGTGGCTTTATTATGGATACGACACTAAGGAAACAATTGATAAGCTGGACTTCATTAAAATTAATTTCTGTCCTGTGAAAGGCAATGTGAAAAGAAGGATAAAATAGTAACACTGGAAGAAAATATTTGCAAAAAGCACAAAGGACCATTATCCAGATTCTATAAAAATTCTTAAGGGGCTGTAGAGATGGCTCAGCAGTTAAGAGAACTGACTGCTCTTGCAGAAGGCCGGAATTTGATTCCCAGCACCCACATGGTGGCTAACAGGCGTTAATAACTCAAGTTTCAGGGGATTCAACATCCTCTTCTGACCTCTGCAGGCACTGCATGACAAGGATGCACTTACATACATGCAGTCAATATAGTCATACACATAAAATAAAAATTAAGAGGTAAACTTTTAAAAATTCTTAAGACTTGGTGACAAGGAAATTGAAAATAGCCTGATTTGAAAATGATTAAGAAAACTGAAAACATGGAAGGCAAGTAAGTCTATGCAAAAACATTCAGTATAACATGTCATCAGGAAATGAAATTTTAAACCACAAAGAGACATGACCAAATATACAGCACAATCAATCACAAAAATGCAAAACATTGATGTCATCAAACCCTGGTGAGAGTGTGGAGCAACAGGAATTCTCATTCTCAAAGGGAGTGTAAACATTTTGCAGCCATTTCGAAGAGTGCTTATCAATTTCTTACAAAGTTATGCATGTTCTGGGCATGAACACCAGTAATCATAATCCTTTGCATTTACCGAAAGGATTTTTTAAAAAGGATTTTAAAGCATGTACACATACAGTTCTGAATAATCAATGTGTCTTTGAATATTATTTTAATTTAAAGATTTCTTTAAATAAATGTTAAAAGTATATTAAAACCTATATGATATAGCAGAAGTAACATTAAAGAGAAAAACTTATAGCAATAAAGAAAGATACCAAATAAATAACATATTGATGTAACTCGGATTTCAAAGCAACACCTACTTAGAATGAAGCAAATACATATCAGATCATAATTGTCTAGTGGAACCAAGGCAAACCAAAATGGATTTGGCAGCTTGGAGTTAACGGTACAGGAGTTTCTCAGTACGAGGTTTCAAGAGATTTAGCTTGAGTAAAATTTGTACTTTGGAGGAACTGTCCAGACAAGCAAAGGGTGATCCCTACCAGCTGACAGAGGGTACCTTGGCTCTAACCCTAGGAACAGGAAAATCTGTTTATTAGACTTCAATGCTTTGTCTGAGGGGAAGGCAAGCAGACTTTCTCTATTTTTCTTTCTTTTTAATTATGTAAATTCTATTATTGTACAAATTTATGAGATTCAAAGTGATGCCCTCATATAGGAATACAGTGCAGACTAGTTAAGCTGACAGTCACTACCCCAAATACTTATACACATTTGGTGATGAGAACATTTGCTATTGGTGACTTTGAAAGGTACCATTCTTTAATATTTGGCTATATTCATTATGCTGTGTAATAGAATTTAAGATGTTCCTTTTCTCTGAGACGTTTTTACTGTCGAATCATCTTCCCTTCCCTAGCTCCTCTCCCTCTATCTACTCTCTGCTTCTGTCTGTTTTAGATGCCGCTGATGAGTGACTGTGCAATGCTTGTCTTCTAAGTCAGGCTTATTTGACTAGAATAATGTTCCTCATCCATGTTATCACAAATGACAGAATTTGTCTTTTTTTAGGTTGACTAGTATCCCAGTGTATACACACCACATTTTCTTTTTTAATATTTGTTTATTTTTATGTGTATGAGTGTTTTGTGTACATGTATGTAAGTGCACCACATACATGCCTATCCACAGATGCTGGAAGAGGGTATTGAATCCCCTGAAACTGGAGTTGCAGACAATTGTTAGATGTCAAGAGGGTGCTGGGAAGCAAACCTGGGTCTTCTGGAAAAGCAGCCAGTCTTTACCTGATAAGCCGTCTCTGCGGCCCCTACATCACATTTTCTTTATTTTTTCATATACTGATGGACACTTGTGCTGACTCCATAAATTGTGCAGCTTAAGTAGTGCTATAATTAACATGCGGGTCCAGCATCTCTCCAACAAGCTGAGTTTAAATCTGTAGGGTGAATATCCAAACAGAGGTGATTTTGTTTGCTCAAATAATACTTTGATAATGCACTGAGTTCATTTAGTGGTGCCCATGTGTTCCTATGTCTAGGGCTGTCCACTTGGAATTAGATGACCTCACAGGGAGCTAGTCCCTGGAGAAAATTGATAGCTATCCATAATCACTGTACTAATTTGCATTCCTACCTGTCATAGCATGGCTCCCCTTCTCTTCACAGTCTCATCACAAGTTTCATCTTTTCTGTAATGACTACTCTAACAAGTAGGTGTGAGATGGCAGCTCATTGTGCTTTTAATTTTCTTTTTACAAATAATTCTTGCCATGAGGAAGCTAATCAGGTCTGTTAGTCATTTATGCATCTTCTTTAGAAAAATGCCTATGTGGATTGGAGGAATCTTCTTTCCCCCTTTCTTCTAATCTCCTCTCCCTTCCTCCCTTCTCCATTCTGTCTCTCCGTCTCTCTCCCTCTCTCTTCTCTGTCTGTCCTTCTCCCCCTTCTCTCTCCCTCTCCTTCCCTCCTCTGTCTCCTTTCCTCCCTCCACCTCTCCCTCCACTCTCCTTTCCTTTCTCTTCTCTCCCTTCTCTAAATGGATTATTTGATTATTCTAAGCCTTTACAAGGTATACAGCTTGCAAATATTTTGTCACAATGACAGGTTATCTCCAAACATTTTTATTTTATTCTTGTTTTTATTTGATGTGATTACATTTCTCTGTTTGCTTTTGTTGCCTACACACTTCGAGTCAAATTTTAAATAAAGAAAACATTACCCAGATCGATGGCCATTATACATTTTTTTTCTAATAGTTCTACAGTATCTGGTCATATATTTAAACATTTAATCCATTTGAACTTGACTTTTGTTTTCAGTGTGAGATAGGAGACCAAGTCCACTCTTCTGCATGCAGACATTGACAACATAATTTATTGGAGAAGTTGTTTTTCCTGCTGCATATTCCTGGCAACTTTGTCAAAAATCAATCAATGTTACATATGTGGACTCATTTCTAGACTCCACTGTGTTCCATCTATTGATGTGTCTATTTTTTCAGCACTCGGCTGTCTAAATTAAATAACTATTATTTAATTACCTTTCAGGTTTTTTGAAATCAGGCAATACAGCTTTGAAATTTGCTTTCTGTTTGTTTGTGTTCATCACTGCCATGAACCTTTAGAAGTCATTTTTGTGTGTGATTTCTTATAAATGATAGGAATTTTTCCTATTTTTATGAAAAATTACATTGCAATGTTAATGGAGATGACATTAAACCTATAGATCACATTGGATGGTACGGACATTTAAATTTTTTTTCAATTCATGAACATGAATTATCTTTCCTTTTATGTTTTCCTCAGTTTCTTCCATGAATTTTTTATAGCTTTAAGTACACAAGTTTTCATATCCTTGGTTAAATCTATTCCTAAATATTT